TTTCACAAAAATATTGTTATATAACTGTAATTTAGAAGATTATAATATCATTTTATTATTGAACGGGTTTATTACTATCAGTAATATGTATTACTATCTTTAAAAAAACCCTTTGAATTTAAAAGTTTTAAACGTGTCATGTCAACAGTACGTTCAGACGCAAAGTTTTAACACACCTTAAGCGATTATTAGCATTCTTACCGCATTTTGACATAAAAAAGTTAACTTTCATTTGTCTATTTATTAAACTTCCACTGAGGAAAAAATTTATGAGAAAAGTGTAAAGGAAACTTTAACTTATCCAAATACAATGAAACTTGAAACGAAGTTCTTCGAATGCTTGTAAAAGTTTTGCAATTTTTTTTTCAATGTTATTACAATGATCAATACAACTTGATTTTTATTTATATTTAAAGCCAACCTCTATTATTAGTGACTACATGGATAATAAAATGAAAAAGTTTGCAAATATTTCTGAAACTAATTAAACTAGACCTGGTTCCAGGGTAAGCTGGGATACCTGGAGGACCTGGTTTCAACATGCATGGAGGATTTAGTTAGTTGAGCTTCCAAAAATACTGATAAAGTATTTCGTGACATGTCGAAGTAATGATAATGATGGTTGGGACGGTTTACTAGTATCAGAGTCTCGAAGAATCTAAAGTCAGAAGTAAAAATAAGTTGCAAAATTTCGAACGACAGTGTTAAACGCCGTTTGCAGGCAGAGCGTCTATTATTGCCATACTCTACAAACTCAATCTGGAAGTAATATTTCAAAGCCGACAATCAGGAATGGACGGGATTTCAAGTCTAAGCAATTAGTTCCACTGGAACTAACTGCGCGGACTTGAAATCACGTCCAGTCCGATATTGGAGGCTTTGAAATGACTTCTCATCTCATTAATTATTCGACTTAGAGTAACGGAAATAGGACTGCATTAATTTTGTTCCAGTTACTCCAGACTGAATGCATTCCTTTCACAGCACTTTATCAGGTTTCAAGTAACATCATGTGACCCAAGAATAGCCCATTGATTGGCTGGTTTACTCATGAATTATTAGTTCCAGTTCCGGGATCCTGATTTTGGCATATGTAATTAGCTTGTTGTGCAACGACGTCTCAAATTAAAAGCATGCACTTTCGCACGGCTCGCTTTAAAATCAAAATGCTTCATTTAAATCGTAAATATAGGCTAATATTTGCTCAAAACTTCTCTCACAATTGCTTTACATTTTATAGTTTATCGATATTTCTTTAAGAATCGCCATTTTTTAAAGAAAAATTAAAGGAGATCATAACGCTTCGAACGACAAAGATCAAACTCTGGAATGTGCGTAGAAAATTATTTATTTTGCTTCTTATACCTCATGTTCCTTTTTGAGTAGACTTTGAAGCCAAAACAGTTAATATAAATACATAAATATAGGTTATAAGGCTATTTTGTCAAGTTCAAGCGAATAACGAGTCATGCTGAATGAATTTACGATCACTTATTATCGTAATATCTGACTATTACGAAGGCAAAAAGACAAGTAACCACACTTCGTGAAGATACATTGTTTGTTAAAATCTGTCACGTGATTTTGTTGTGTCTGACGAAAACATAAAATATAAAGTCTGCGTTATTAAGAGCGACTGTCCAGAAATCGGCGAGCACGGGGCGGCCACAGTCAAAAAATAAAAGTCCTTCATTTTTGGTCTGTAGACACTATTTGATGAGTTCATGAACGTACTGGGGTCGGTTTTTCGATCTACGTAAAAAATCCGGATTTTTTTGAAAAAAACGATTTCACCCCGTGTCGGTCTAAAAATTGCTCAAGAAACGGCTGCGAATTACGCTTTCAAAAACATTCTCGCTCCAAGTGAAAACCC